TTCATCCATTTCTACATTTCATCCCCTCTCTTCCCTCTGCCCACTTCCCTTGCAGTGTCTCTTTTCTGTATATCTCAAATGCTGGCTGGGCGCCTGCTTAGGGCCTAGTGACAGCTGGTTTACTGCTATGAAACTTGACGAGGATAACTGTACTACTACCTCCTAAGTTGATTTTGTTGATGCCCTGGAAAAAACAACCTATTTCAGTAACAAATAATTAGAACCGCAATATTCATTAATGTTAGTGACAGACAAAAGTCACAATTCAGTGTTATTGAGATGTGCACTCAACATTGCCCCTATGATAATAACAAGATGAGAAACGTTCCAGTTCCATGCATGCAAATCTCAATGTATACATAAGGTATCATTCTAGTAATCTTCAGCGTGGTATTATTCGATATTTTTCTTATGTACATTCTGAGAACACGGTATTTATATTTTATGCATAGATAACCAACTTACCATCTACTTGTGTTTTTCTCCTCCTTAGCATTTTGTGTTGGAGGAAGGGATGCTTGAGGTAGACTGTCCATGTGTGACACCAGAAGTTGTCTTGAAGGCCTCTGGCCATGTCGAAAAGTTTACGGACTTGATGGTTAAAGATGAAAAGACAGGCAGCTGTTATCGTGCTGATCACTTACTCAAGGATTTCTGTAAGGAGAAGCTCGAGAATGACAATACATTGTCACCAGAGAAGGTAGAAGAATTAAACTATATTCTTGCTGTCTTGGATGATCTGTCAGCAGAACAATTAGGCGCTAAGATTAAGGAGTATGGGATTGTTGCTCCTGACACAAAGAATCTATTGTCAGATCCATACCCCTTTAATCTCATGTTTCAGACTTCCATTGGACCGTCAGGTTTGAGTGCAGGGTGAGATTGAAAACAGCTCAGTATGTTCTCCTTTGTTCAATATAGTTTTAGCTCATGTGCTACATCTGTTTTTCAGGTATATGAGGCCAGAGACAGCACAGGGTATCTTTGTGAACTTCAAAGACTTGTATTACTACAATGGCAACAAACTACCCTTCGCTGCAGCCCAAATCGGCCAGGCTTTCCGCAATGAGGCATGACTTTCTTAACTACTTAATCTTCTGTTGGGATCTTTACTTTTATTATCAATTTTTCTTGGGTTTAGATCCTCGACACATTGACGCCTTTACAAGGGTTTATATTGATTACTTATTAACATATTTGCCGGTTTTTAATTTGCAATCTACCATGTGATGTGAAACATATGAAAAACTCTTTTTGATGGCATCGTTCATGTTTGGTACATAAAACAGTTTGTTTGTCAGGTATTCGGATTCAACATACGAGGAGCTCTTTTGTTTTTTGCCACTGGTTCAAGCTATCTTCTCCTTTCCACCATCAGCAAAATGTACTTATTTCTTTTGCTGCTGTTCCTTCCACACCCTGTTCTCTTTTGCTGTCCTGTCTGGGATTATTTTTTCAAAGAAACCTTATGCTCTTACGAGACTGACAATGATCTTTTGGGGCCAAAACTAGCAGTGAGACAGTCAAAGCTAGTTAACCTGATGGAAATGACAAAAGAAGTTGTATTTTAACGAGGGTTATATGAATAATGTAACTCAATGGTAAAAATGTTTTTACCAAAGACTTATTATCCAGTTACTGTTGAGATGAACTGGAATGGTTATGGTGCAAACCGGTGCAATAACTACTAATAACTGTAGGGCATTGCTTAATAACCTCTGTGGTCTAAGACGAATTTATTTCACTAGATATCTCCCCGTCAAGGCCTTCTAAGAGTCCGTGAATTTACGTTGGCGGAGATTGAGCACTTTGTGGACCCAGAGGACAAGTCTCATCCAAAGTTTAGTGATGTTTCTGATCTAGAGTTCCTGATGTTTCCGAGAGAAGATCAACTGACAGGAAGATCTGCCACTAGACTTAGGCTCGGTGAAGCTGTTTCTGAGGTACTATATTTGAGTATTGTCTAATTCCGCTAATTTTGATGCATGTCTAAGTAACGCTTGCTGCAACCGGCAGGGAACTGTGAACAATGAGACCCTTGGCTTCTTTATTGGAAGGGTCTATCTCTTCTTGACGCAGCTTGGGATTGACAAAGACCGTCTACGGTTCCGGCAGCATCTGCCAAATGAAATGGCTCACTATGCTGCTGATTGTTGGGATGCAGAGATCGAATGCTCTTATGGGTGGATCGAGTGTGTTGGAATTGCTGATAGGTCAGCGTATGACTTGCGTGCCCACTCGGTATGTATCATCATTCGGTAGAACTGCGAATACAATGTTTTCTGTACTATACAACTGCGAAAGCTATCCGTCGGTATCAAACTCGAGAGCTGGATATTTCTTGTTGGAAAACCACTTGTACGAAATCGCAACCCTTTACCATTTCTTTTAGGTTAATGAGTTACTTTATGGAAAATTAGAATTATATTGTCAAACATGTTTTGTTAGCTCAACTACTCTCCCATTAGAATTTTTGAAAGTATTCGTCCCTTTTATTAAGAGATAAGTGCATTTTTCATCCACTAACTGTCGCCTCTTCGGTATTCCTTTGTTCTATAGTTCTAGACCAAAAAATAGTGGAGTGCTGACGTATTCCTGTATGAAGTGTATTTTGTACATAACTATCCTAATAGAACTAATCCTATTCTACTCTCTACATTGAGCAGGATAAAAGTGGTGTTCCACTCGAAGCTCATGAAAAATTCGCAGAACCCAGAGAAGTGGAGGTGAGGCTTACTTATGATACAAGTTTCTCATTGTACACTGAATAATTGAACTATTACTACTGAAAATTTTGCAGTTCTGATGCTTTGGTGAGTTTCTCTAATTATCTGCTTCGCTAATGATAAGTTTCTTCTTGGCACATTCAGAAGTTAGTTATAACCCCATCAAAGAAGGAGCTTGGTCTTGCGTTCAAAGGGAGCCAGAAGATGGTTCTCGAAGCATTGGAAGTAAGTTTCGTCTCACACATTGACTTGTCATATCTTATTGCTGTTGTGTTGATCAACAGTTAACTTTCTCCGCCGACAGGCCATGGGTGAAACTGAAGCTCTGGGTATGAAAGCAGCTTTAGAGTCTAAAGGGGATGTTGAGTTTAAGGTCTGTACCCTTGGGAAGGATGTTACCATAAAGAGAAATATGGTTTCAATTAACATGGAGAAGAAAAAGGAACATCAAAGGAAGTTCACTCCTTCTGTCATAGAGCCATCATTTGGCATAGGGAGAATTATTTATTGCTTGTTCGAACATTGCTTCTATCAAAGGACTGGCAAGACAGATGATGAGCAGTTGAATGTGTTTCGTTTTCCCCCTCTTGTTGCTCCAATTAAGTGTACTGTGTTTCCACTGGTCAAGGTCGAGAAATTTGATGTTGTTGCCAAGAAAATTTCAAAAGCTTTGACAACAGCAGGGATTTCTCACATTATCGATATCACAGGTACCACTGAACTTATAGAAAACCATCGCGTTTATTTCTATTCTAGCCATATGAAGCGTTGCAATTTGCCTATCATGATTGGTTCTCCATTTACACCTAAATTTTGCTTTTGATCTTTGTTTCACCTGACTGATATTTTCTCCTTCCAGAGTGAGATGGATGAGAACTAGTTCTTGATATTTTGTCGATTGACTGTAAACTGCTTGTGATCGCGTGTAGGTCCAAATTTTCCACTAGGCATTCTTTGGTAAAATAGGTTAAATATCAAAACATTTAGTTTAAATGTCGATATTTAATCCGCATGAGATATCATCCATCTCTTAAACTTCTGTCCAGTTTGCAACCTTGGTGAGCTTTGATATTTGTTGCACTATTTCAGTGGATTATTTTATTGGAACCTGTTTTCTGTTTTCTTTTCAACATGTTTGGATTGAATGTATCATGGAACAGAATTCGTTCTTCAAAATAGGCTATTATGTCAATTTCCATACTAGACTATTTTTTTAGGACCCGGATATCCAGCAAACGTCAGATTTTTAGGCATGGCAAATCGAACATTTTTCATGGCAATTTGTGTTCGTCGAGGATGGCAAGTTTAGTTGGCGGGCATTGCAAATTTGCCAGGAGGGGAATGTCTTGTACATTTGGCAAGTAATTTGTGCCTCTGTGCTACTTGTTGCAGGCACTTCGATTGGTAAGCGGTATGCACGGACAGACGAAATCGGCGTCCCCCTGGCGATCACAGTCGACTCAACTACAAGTGTGACTGTCCGTGACCGGGACAGCAAGGATCAGATCCGTGTTGAGGTCGACGAGGTGGCTTTGGTTGTGAAGGAAGTGACCGATGGGCAGAGCACCTGGGCAGACATCATGTGGAGATACCCAGCACATACCGCCTTGGCCACCGATGAGGAAGAAGCTTCAGAAACCTGAAGGGTACAGTCGAAGAGTCTTCCATTGGTTGAATGATGGCTTCCTGAGTTTCAGATGTGTGTCCTGTTAACAGAAATGCTAATAGAGGCGTTGCCCTGTAATCCTAGTCCTGTTTTCCCTAAACGTATGGTTTTCATCCGTTACCTGTCGATATTTACTGTATCTACATGCTCATCTCGTGTGATTAAAAGGAAGAGACGTGTGCATAATTTTCTTTTGGTCGGATTGATATTGTTCAGATTTGTCATGTGAGTCATCTTGATCCCACAATAGAAGTATTCATAGGTATTCTTTTTCGAGTTAATACCACAATTAGTACATAAAATTGTCCTGGTGGGAACAGTCATAGAAGAACTGACCCTCACTAAAGTGGCCGCTTGACTATATTGTTGTAACATTTTCATACTACAAAACAGTTTGAATCACGTTGCGTGGTGTGCCACATCGACAATGTAGGGCTGCAGCCACAATTATGCAGAAAACCCATTGTGTTGCACTAAAATTTCCTTGTAGGTCCTCAATATTGTGACCAGAATGGGAAAATTAGAAAAATGCCCCCTACCACAAACCGGTACCAAACCCAGGAGCCCTTCATGGCCTCATGTCTTCGAGGCGACCCCGGGCGACCCTATTGTGGACCTCGACGCAGACGATCGAGGGCGGCATGGCGCCTTGGCTTCGGGAACCACCAGAGTTTCCTCCCGAGTGTGGTACATACCCAACCCATGACCGCATTGGGTTGGTTAGGTTTTGAGCCGTTGATGATCAGTCCAGTTCTTGACGATTTTGACTGATATTTAGGTGGTTGTTGTGTGTATATGTAGTACTAGTCATGAGGAAGTGGTAGTAGATACTTGACGATTTTGACTGATATTTAGGTGGTTGTTGTGTGTATATGTAGTACTAGTCATGAGGAAGTGGTAGTAGATACTGGCTTGGAGGATTGAGGCTAGGATTATGTGATGCTTTGAGTTGATTTTGGGGAAAAAGTAGGCGCTTTAGAAGAGGGAATTTTGGGGCACAAGAGGGTAGTTTTGAATGCATCCATGCAGGTGATGTTTTGATGGGATTTAGGGGGAAAAGTTATTGTGTGCAGATTCTGCGGGTACATTTCTGTGATGTTGTGTGTTGCGGATGCAAGTTCGGAGAATGGGCTAACATTTATTCAGTTGTATGCATATTGGTACTACGCGGATTATGATTTTACCTACTGTAATATGAGAAAAGAATGGATTTTAGCTGCTGTAATATGAGAAAAGAATGGATTTTAGCTGCTGTAATATGAGAAAAGAGTGCATTAGGTGATGTTCAGTGCATATTCAGTTTAATGCTCTTGTTGTGCATACGGTCGATACATCTCAGTTATGAGATGTGCGATTCATATCCTAACTGGATTTTGATTTATATATTTGTTGAATACATTGTGAGTTCCAATAATTTGCAGCTCATATTTTGAATAGTATGTTATATGTTGTAGTGGTTTACAGTAGATGTTGCAGTACATTGTGAGTTCAAATGTTCATTAGTTAAATTGGCATTTGTTGTAGTGATCTACAATACATGTTGCACTCAGAAGAAGTTCTTCTATGAACTAAGAAGTGCATCTTCCAATTTGTGGAGTGACTAATGGAGAAGAAAGGCAGTTGTTGAGCACAATGGATTTTTCATAAAACGAGGTGCGAGCAGATCATATCTTGGCTGCACACATGATATGTTTGACTACTGTCATGCAGAGACATGGTCAATGGGGATGGTCAAGTGCTTCTTGTTTAGGATAGAATATGACCCTACAGATCCCTTAATCAAGGTGTAATGGTGCTAGGTAGGGAGGACATAGTTGATGGTCCAGTTTGTGTGGACAATGCTGAAGCAATAACTGCAATGGTGAGTGCAAGTAGAGAAGCCAAGACATAGGATGTACTAGATGAGAAGAACAAGATCATGACATTGTATGATGATTTTATACTAAATGGATGCCCACCACTTCCAAGGGTTATGACACCTAGAAAAATGCCAAGGACTTGTTAGTCTGGAGAGGAACTTTTTGGTGGCAATGTTGCAAATGCAAATGAGACAGAAGAAGCAGGGGAGGCACATGATGCACAAGTAACCAGAGGAGGAGGAGAATCAGAGGGAACATGGGAAGGAAAAGATGAGATTGAAAATGACTCTGATTTCTATGAGAGTAACTATGATTATGAACATAGAGATGATGACCTGTTTGCTCAGAATGTGGATGCAACATTGAATGACAACAATGAATAGGAGGAAGAGATTTTTGAGGAAGATGATCCCTCGGATGATGATGACTTAAACCTTTCCAAAGAAGAGCTTGAGAAGTTATGGTACAGACTAAGGGTATTTAATTCAAAGATGGCTAGCAACAACCCATAGTATTTGGAGAACCGAGAGAGAGTTGCATACACAATGAAAAATAAGATTTACAAACTTAGAAATGAGGCAGATAAATTGAAAGTTGCGTGTCAAGTAGATTGTCCTTGGAAGTCCAAAACTTCAAAAGACAACATAACTAGAAACATTGGTATAAGAGAGTACAATGGAGAACACACTTTTCATAAAACATGGGACTCCAAGTGCTTGATAGTTAAGTGTCTAGCAGAAATATTCCTAGAAGAATTCAAAGATAATAAGAGCATGGATTCGGGAACATTTTTAAGGAAAGTTCAGAAGCAGTTCAAACTTCATCCTGTATGAATGAAACTAGCTAGGATAGGAGGGAAACACTTATGATCATACATGGAGATGAGGCAGCATGATATGATATGATATGGGATTATGGACAAGAATTGAGGAGAAGCAATCCAAGGAGCAAACTCATTGTTTACGCAAGCAAGGTCAAGGAAAAGGATGGCCTAATTCCCTAGGATCACTTGTTATCATTGTTGGGGAACGTTGCAGAAAACAAAATTTTTCCTACTCGTTTCACCAAGATCATCTAGGAGTTCATCTAGCAACGAGTGATTAGATGCATCTACATACCTTTGTAGATCGCGCACGGAAGCGTTCAAAAGAACGGTGATGATGTAGTCGTACTCGACGTGATTCAAATCACCGATGACCAGCGCCGAACGGACGGCACCTCCGCGTTCAACACACGTACGGGACGGGAGACGTCTCCTCCTTCTTGATCCAACAAGGGGGGAGGAGAGGTTGATGAAGATCCAGCAGCACGACGGCGTGGTGGTGGATGCAGGGCGTCACAGCAGCAGGGCTTCGCCGAGACTACGAGGGAGAGACGTAACGGGGGAAGATGGAGGCGCCAGGGGCTGGTATGAAATCCCTCCTCTCCCCCCCACTATATATAGGGGTGCCATGGGGGGGCGCCGGCCCTAGTAGATGAGATCTACTAGGGGGGGCGGCGGCCAAGGGGAGGTTTCCCTCCCCCCCAAGGCACCTAGGGGTGCCTTCCACCACATGGACTCTTCCATGGTGGAAACCCTAGGCGCATGGGCCTATAGGGGCTGGTGCCCTTGGCCCATCTAGGCCAAGGCGCACCCCCTACAGCCCATGTGCCCCCCCCGGGACAGGTGGCCCCACCCGGTGGACCCCCGGGACCCTTCCGGTGGTCCCGGTACAATACCGATAACCCCGAAACTTGTCCCGATGCCCGAAATAGCACTTCCTATATATAATTCTTTACCTCCGGACCATTCCGGAACTCCTCGTGACGTCCGGGATCTCATCCGGGACTCCGAACAACATTCGGGTTTCTGCATATACATATCTTCATAACCCTAGCGTCACCGAACCTTAAGTGTGTAGACCCTACGGGTTCGGGAGACAAGCAGACATGACCGAGACGACTCTCCGGTCAATAACCAACAGCGGGATCTAGATACCCATGTTGGCTCCCACATGCTCCACGATGATCTCAGCGGATGAACCACGATGTCGAGGATTCAATCAATCCCGTACGCTATTCCCTTTGTCTATCGATATGTTACTTGCCCGAGATTCGATCGTCGGTATCCCAATACCTCGTTCAATCTCGTTACCGGCAAGTCACTTTACTCGTACCGTAATGCATGATCCCGTGACCAGACACTTGGTCATTCTGAGCTCATTATGATGATGCATTACCGAGTGGGCCCAGTGATACCTCTCCGTCATACGGAGTGACAAATCCCAGTCTTGATCCATGTCACCCAACAGACACTTTCGGAGATACCCGTAGTCTACCTTTATAGTCACCCAGTTACGTTGTGACGTTTGGCATACCCAAAGCACTCCTACGGTATCCGGGAGTTACACGATCTCATGGTCTAAGGAAAAGATACTTTGACATTGGAAAACTCTAGCAAACGAACTATACGATCTTGTGCTATGTTTAGGATTGGGTCTTGTCCATCACATCATTCTCCCAATGATGTGATCTTGTTATCAATGACATCCAGTGTCCATAGTCAGGAAACCATGACTATCTGTTGATCAACGAGCTAGTCAACTAGAGGCTCACTAGGGACATGTTGGTGTCTGTTATTCACACATGTATTACGATTTCCGGATAACACAATTATAGCATGAATAAAGACAATTATCATGAACAAGGAAATATAATAATAATGCTTTTATTATTGCCTCTAGGGCATATTTCCAACAGTCTCCCACTTGCACTAGAGTCAATAATCTAGTTACATTGTGATGAATCGAACACCCATGGAATTCTGGTGTTGATTATGTTTTGCTCTAGGGAGAGGTTTAGTCAACGGATCTGCTATATTCAGGTCCGTATGTACTTTACAAATCTCTATGTCTCCATCTTGAACATTTTCACGAATGGAGTTGAAGCGATGCTTGATGTGCCTTGTCTTCTTGTGAAACCTGGGCTCCTTGGCAAGTGCAATAGCTCCAGTGTTGTCAAAGAAGAGCTTGATCGGCCCCGACGCATTGGGTATGACTCCTAGGTCGGTGATGAACTCCTTCACCCATATTGCTTCATGTGCTGCCTCCGAGGCTGCCATGTACTCCGCTTCACATGT